TACCCCCCCGCAAACTGAGAATGAATATTGTTCATGTTCAGTTTGGAGAGTAAATAAGAGAAGGCAGGTCCAGGTAGGGCTTTGGTTAAAATGTCTGAAATCTGCTCCTTTGATTCAACATGGTGCAGCTGGATAAGTCCTTGAGCTACCTTTTCTCTAATAAGATGACAGTCAATCTGTATATGCTTTGTTCTTTCATGAAAAACAGGGTTAGTGGCAATAGCAAGTGCAGATTTACTATCAGAATAAAGATGAACAGGAGTATCATGTGAAATTTTGAAATCATCTAGAAGATATAAAAGCCATTGAATTTCACATGTTGTGGATGCAATTGATCTATATTCAGCCTCAGCAGATGGTCTACTAATAGTAGATTGCTTTTTGGATTTCCAAGAAATTAATGACTGGCCTAGGAATATAGAAAAACCAGTGATGCTTCTTCTAGTATTTAAGCAAGAGGCCCAATCAGCATCACAATATGCATATAACTTTAAATCAGAGGTTCTGGAAAAGAAAATTCCTTTACCTACTGTACCTTTTAAGTATCTGAGCACCCTGTGAGCTGCATTCAAATGTTGGACTGTTGGTTTAGATAAAAACTGACTCAATGTTTGAACACTGTATGCAATGTCAGGTCTGGAAATTGTCAAATATAATAACCTGCCAACAAGCTTTCTGTAGGCAGTAGACTCTGTAAGTTTGTCATTTTCAGTACAAACAGACAATTTCAAAGTAGGATCCATAGGGGTGGGTGCAGGTTTACTGCCTAAAAACCCAGTGTCTGTTAGTATGTCTAGAGCATACTTTCTTTGACACATGTTTATACCAATATCTGAGTGAGCAAATTCTAAACCAAGAATATATTTCAATTTTCCAAGATCTTTAATGGTAAAACACTTATCAAGATGGGTTTTAATGGCAGAAATATCATGCATGTTTGATCCTGTGATTATGATATCATCCACATAAACAAGAAGTGCCATGAATGATGAATTTGTATGCATGATGAATAAAGAGTTATCAGCATTGGATTGAGTAAAACCATAATCAAGTAAACACTTTGTAAGTTTGGAAAACCACTGCCTGGATGCTTGTTTAAGGCCATAAAGGCTTTTCAAAAGTTTTCAAACTCTGTTATCATCAGCTTTACAATATCCAGGTGGGGGTTTCATATAAACCTCTTCATCTAGATCACCATGTAAAAATGCATTGTTTACATCTAATTGGTGAATATTCCAGTTTTTAGCAGAGGCTAATGCAATTAAAAATCTGACTGTAGTGATTTTGGCAACAGGGGAGAATGTTTCAAAATAATCTATGCCTTCTTCCTGTGTGTACCCTTTGGCAACTAGTCTTGCCTTATACCTTTCTACACTACCATCAGATTTGTATTTGACTTTGAAAACCCATTTACATCCTATGCAGTGTTTATCTTTTGGTAAAGAAGTTAAAGTCCATGTATTTGTATGTTCTAATGCATCTAATTCTTTTTTCATTGCTAACTGCCATTGAGTTGGCAGCTTGAGTATAACTCTTAGGTTCAGGAATTAATGATATGGATGCAGTGAAGCATGAATGTGAATCAGACAATGAATTGACAGATAAGTAAGATGAAATAAGATAATTGGATTTTCCAGAAGTGCAGGGAGATATGACTGCAGAGTTAGTTCTGGAGGATGGTAAAGAATGTTGATATATTTGTAAGTAAGCAGGTGGTTTGATAGTTCTTGTTGATCTCCTGGTAGTAGAAGGTTGGGTAGGACCAGAAGGTGTAGAATTAGTGTGAGGTGGTAGGTTGGCATTGGACTGGGGTGATGAGGGTTGTTGAGATGTTGTCTGAGGTGGTGCTGTTGTTTGAGATGTTGTAAAAGGAAAGGAAAGAGAAGTGTCTGTTGTTTGTATATCATCAAAGCAAAAATGTTGAGGTTGTGGAAATAGGTTATCAGACAAGGGGTCAGAATCAGAAGTTCCAGTGGATAAAGCAAAAGGAAAGTCATTCTCATAAAATTGCACATTTCTGGAAATAACTGTTTTCTTGGTATCAAGGTTGTAAAGTTTATAACCTTTACAACCTATAGGATATCCAAGAAGTATGCATTTTTGTGCTCTAGGTGCAAATTTATGTCTATTTGCTTGTAATGTGGATGCATAACATAAACAACCAATCACTTTAAGATGTTCATATGTAGGCTGCTTGTTGTAAAGAATTTCAAAAGGAGATTTATTATAAGGATCACAGATGGTACTCTGTTAATAATATGAGCAGCAGCCATTATGCATTCAACCCAAAAAATTAAAGGCAGATGTGCATGAAAAAGAAGAGCTCTAGCCACTTGAAGAAGGTGTTGATGTTTTCTTTCTACTCTCCCATTTTGTTGGGGAGTTTCAACACAACTTATTTGATGGATGATGCCATGTTTATGATAAAAATCATGGAGAAAGAATTCAGTACCATTATCTGTTCTAATGGTCTTTATATGTTTTTCAAAATGAGTAAGTACTAAGTTATAAAAATGTTCTAAACTCAATTTGGTGTCAGATTTGTTTTTGAGAGGATAAATCCAAGTTGTTCTGCTGAAATCATCAACTATTGTAAGAAAGAATCTGAAACCTTCATGAGATGCAATAGAGAAAGGGCCCAAACATCACAATGTATGAGTTCAAAAATGAAGGAAGATTTGGAAGTGCTAATAGGAAATGATAATTTCTTTTGCCTTGCAAAGTGACAAACATCATATGGAGAAGAGATAATGTTTTTATTATGAATATCAGATAAAGGCAAGTGTACAAGTTTATTGTAAGACAGATGGCCCAATCTGTGATGCCAGATAGTTTGTTTCTCAGGTATTTGGTTTACAGGTAAAGAAAAATTTACAGGTAAATTGCAAACATTAGATGAATGAACAAGAGATGATGATGTGTCAGCTGAATCAGAAAGAGTGAGATGGTAGAGGCCATCTTTTAAATCAGCAGAACCAATCATTTTGTGAGTTGTCAAATCCTGTAAAATGCAATGTGATGACATGAACTGAATCATGCAGTTTGATGTAGATGCTAGTTTAGAAACAAATACTAAATTGAATGAGAAACTAGGAACATATAAGGCATCATGAAGAATAATAGATGAAGATAATATAACTTGACCTATGGAACAAGCAGCAGTAATGTTTCCATTTGGCAAATTGATGTTAACATTCTTGACAGGAGTAGTGGAAACAAAAAAAAAACTATCACAAATCATGTGGTCAGTTGCTCCCGTGTCCAATATCCATGTGTTTTTAGATAGAGTTCTAGATACTTAGACAAACCTGTAGCATTTTGAACAGCTGCAGTTGCTACCATTGGATTAGCAACAGGTTCAGTAGCTGATTTGGCTTCCTGTGACTTTTTAAAAGCTAAAAACTCAAGAAAGAGCTCATTAGTCAAGGAAGATGCATCAGTTTTAGCATTGTTATCACCAGGAGCAGTAGTGGAGTGAGAGATATTGGCAGAATGTTGTGGGTGGATTCGAGGACCTTTGGGACCAATCCAGTTGGCAGGGTAACCATACACTTGATAACATTTATCTGAGGGGTGAGGATAACCACAGTGTGAACATTTGGCTCTTGGCTTTTTGTGGTCTTTGGTATAGGAAGGCTTTTGAGAGGTATGTGTGATGTGGCTTGATTTAGCTATCATGGCCAAAGGATCAGTTGGTAAAGTGGTGTTGTTAAGAGATCTTTGAGATTCCTCTTGAAGTAACAAGGAATATATTTTGGAGAGATTGGGTAAGGGTGAAGTGAGAAGGAAATGGCTCCTCAGTGATGCATAAGAATCATTCAACC